ATGCTGGGCGCTTTGTCCGCTACCAGTTCACCCCTGCCTTCCTCCGCCTGAGGCAGGTGGGAGCCACGTGAGTCACTGGGCCTGCGGGGGGAAGGGCTGGGGGTAAGGGTGGGGTGGGAGCGAGCCCTTCCTGAGTTCTTACTGAGCCTCTCTTAGGGGCAGTCTGTCCTGAACCTGGCTGGTTGACTTCAAGGCCAAGCTCAGCCCTGCCCCCTTCTCTCGCTCAGGGTGGAGTTCACGGTGGGAGACAAGCCTGTCAACAACTTCCGCATGATCGAGAGGCACTACTTCCGAAACCAGCTGCTCAAAAGCTTTGACTTCCACTTTGGCTTCTGCATCCCGAGCAGCAAGAACACCTGCGAGCACATCTATGACTTCCCCCCTCTCTCTGAGGAGCTGAGTGAGTGGGCAGGGCCCTGTGGAGGGAGGGGACTCAGAGACCACGCTGCGGGGAGTGGGGTCTGACCCCCTTTCTTCCCACCCTGGGTCTCCTGTGTCTGGCACCTGTAGGGACACTCAGGCTCAAAGAGGCTGGGGGGATTCTTGGAGGTTGTTTAGCGTGTCCCGCCCTGCCCCCTAGTCCTGAAGGCCCTGCAGTGGCCTACCTCTGGCCCCTGACCTTTGCCCCGCTGGGCTGGGCTCTCTTGCAGTCAATGAGATGATCCGTCACCCGTACGAGACACAGTCTGACAGCTTCTACTTCGTGGATGACCGGCTGGTGATGCACAACAAAGCAGACTATTCCTATAGTGGGACGCCATGACCGCCCAACTGCCTCCTCCCCCAGGAGGGTCCTGGGCCCTCAGCTGTGACTTTCCAGTGCTCACTTCTCAAGCCCAGGGCTTCTGCCCGGGAAGAGTCCCAGGGGCCCTGGTTCCTGCGTCAGTGTTGGGAGGGAGGGTGCCTGAGGTCCCCAGCCCAAGTCTATAAAGCGCACGGGGCCTGGCATCTGGGGTGGGAGAGGGTGGTCAGGGGGCTGTTTGCCTCCATATCCAGGAAGGCCTCCTGTGAGAGGAGTAGCCAGAATTTCTGGACAGCCTCACTGGGCCTCTTGGGCCCAAGTTTCAGAACAGTGTTCCCCTACCCGGCTCTGACTAGGTCAGGCAGAGACCCATTCTTTGTTTCCTGCCCACCACTGACAGGCCGTTTAGGTTTGTGAATTCACAGATGAAAATCCTGGCTGTCAAGACTCCCATGTGGGGTTTAGGCTCTGGCCCCAGCCCTAGCCCCCATCATCAGGGGCCAAGAAACTGCCTGAGGTGTGGGAGGGATTGGCCCCGACTGCCACCGCTGCTTGGGGCTGGACCAACTGTATATAGTTTTCAATAAACTCTTCCTCCTTTTCTGTTCTCTGATTGTGGGCCAGCGTGTGTCTCTGTTGGGGAGGAGGGGAGGGGAGGGGAGCAGGCAATAATGTGATCCCCAAGTCCTCTTGTGTCCTAATCCTCTTGGTACCTAGAGTCGGCATTTAGTACATGTTGTAGCAGGAAAGGGTTTTTCCTTTGATAAAAGGAGGCGATTCAGGCCCCGAGAGGGGAAGCTTTAGGCCAAAGTCATGGCCTCCTGACAGGACAGAGGATGGGACTAGGGACCCCAACTCCAGAATGGGAAGGAAGGTATAGGGAGGTGGTCTTGTTCTTTACCTTCTCTGACCCCCTGAGGCCACTAGGACCCCCAGGTTGTGCTTTTAGCCCTCATCAGAGAGAGAAGGTGGACAGGTTTGTGACTAAGAACTGGAACGCTCTTGTTTTTTTTAAAATATATTTTATTGTTTTTTTCACAGAGAGGAAGGAAGAGGGATAGAAAGTCAGAAACATTGATGAGAGAGAATCATCGATCAGCTGCCTCCTGAACACCCCCTACTGGGGATGCGCCCGCAACCAGGGTACATGCCCTTGACCGGAATCAAACCTGGGACCTTTCAGTCCACAAGCCGATGCTCTATCCACTGACACTCTATCCACTGAGCCAAACCGGTTTCGGCTGGAGTGCTCTTGTTTTAAGCTGCCTTGGGGAGCCCCCTGGATTGGCCGTCCTATGTATAACACTGCCCCCAGCCCTGCTTCATTTCCTTAATGGAGAAAATTGAAGAACTGAGAGGTAGATGGAGAACTTATCCCAGGGTTTTATTGATTTCACAGAGAGAAGGAGAGAGATAAATATCAATGATGAGAGAATAATTGATTGTCTATCTCCTGCACACTCCACACTGGGGATGGAGCCCACAACTCTGGCATATGCCCTGACCTGGAATCGAACCATGACCTCCTGGTTCATAGGTCATTGCTCAATCACTGAGCGACACTGCCTGGGCCTCCCTGCCTCCTTTTAAGTCTTCATGTCTCTGCATCGGTCTGGCTGCTAAGGTGCTACTTGTTGTATTTAGTTCCTCGCACTTTCCTTAGGAACCTAAGAGATTCCTGAGCGGTAGAAGGAGGAAGAGAAGATGGGTGTGGGATGGTGTAGGGCAGGGGGTACAGCTAGTCTGACTGTAATTATGATGAGTTGTTGATTTTGATCTAGACTAGGCTGGGTCTGACCATGCTCAGATTCTGTCTCTGATGTCAGCTGGAAAAAACCCTGCCACAGGGTTGAGCAGGAAAGCCCTATTTGGAGGAAGACAACCTGCTCATGTCACCCCAGCCGGCCTGCAGGGTGCGCTTTGGGACTGCCCAGCCCACTGAAATGCTGAGAGGTTTCCCTTCCAGCGGATGAAGAGCTGCTGTGTCAAGTTCGTAGGGCTTCCTCTCTAGCCTGGCCCAGCCCCTAAGAGCCACCCTCCACTTCCCCAACATCTGGCACCAAAAGTCAAGGGTGCTTGACTTTCTTTTTTTTAAAGCACTATTGTTTTTTATATTTTATTGATTTTTTTATAGAGAGGAAAGAAGAGTGATAGAGAGTTAGAAACTTTGATCAGCTGCCTCCTGCATACCCCTTACTGGGGATGTGCCCGCAACCAAGGTACATGCCCTTGACTGGAATCAAACCTGGGACCTTTTAGTCCGCAGGCTGACACTATCCACTGAGCCAAACCAGTTTCAGCAAGGGTGCTTGACTTTCTTGTGTGTCATTGACCCTTTTCTTATTGTCTACTGAAGCATATGGGCAATACGGTTTTTATGTACATAAAATATATTGTAATCCGATATTTTACGTATTAAACACTATATATAGACACCTCTATCTATATCTGTTCTGCAATACCTGTAATGTAATATGAAAACATCTGTGCTTTCTCTTCTTTTTTTTTTTTTTTTTAAATATATTTTATTGATTTTGTACAGAGAGGAAGGGAGAGAGACAGAGAGCCAGAAACATCGATGAGAGAGAGTCATCGATCAGCTGCCTCTTGCACACCCCCCACTGGGGATATGCCCGCAACCAAGGCACATGCCCTTGACCGGAATCGAACCCGGGACCCTTCAGTCCCCAAGCCGACGCTCTATCCACTGAGCCAAACCGGTCCCGGCTGTGCTTTCTCTTCTTAATGGCAAAGTCACAGCTTCTACTAAAGCCACTGTGCTTTGTTGCTGATTCATAATCAAGGGAAATGCTAAATTTGAGGTAGAGATGAGTAACAATGAAGGTGTAATTTCTTGCATTGGACCCATGCATTCTAACCAGTTTAAATCCAGGTTTAGAGCCCCTGAACAAAAGGAATCATTTCCCCCAAAGGGTCTTCCAGACCCTGCATCCATTTAGACTGTTGCTCACCTAAAATGGTGGTTGAATACTTGGTGCAAGGTGGCCAGCAGAGGGCAGCATATGAGCGTGAGTGGGGAGCTCAGCTCAGAGAGGAACTTGCCCAGAGGGCCACGTCTGGTTACAAACAACAAAAGAAGCTCAAAGTCCTATCAACTTGCTGCCTGTCTTAGCTGCGTGGGGGCCAGTTCACTCACAGGTGTGATGAATGGGCCCCTGGGACAGAGGTCTGACTGAGGAGCCCTGGACCTGTCCTCTGCTCACCAACGAGGCTGGAGGTGTAAGTAGGTTTGTCTGAGGCCCCAGGGTTCGAGTCTGAGGCAAGGAAGCAGGTCCCAGTAAAGTTCTCTCATTAAACACTTGCCTTGTTCTTGGGGGCTTGGACATTCAGACCCAGGCCTAGGGTTGGTCAGAACTGGGGTGTAACGTCACCTGGGGCCTGACATTGACCCTTTACCCCCTTCCTATACAGCCAGGGCTGGGTGGGTCTTCCTCTTGGGGGTATGGACTGGCCATGCCTTCCCCCACTCCTCACCCTACCCTACCCCTCTAGGCCTGGACCTAGCCTTAGAGTCTCTTCTGGGAGGTACTGGTGTACCTCCATTAGGAGATCTGCAGAGCTGTCCTCTGGGGCAGGCAGGCGATGTTGGCCGGCCCCAGGCATGGCCCCTTTAAGAACTTTCTAAGCAGAGGCCCCACCTGTGGCTGTGGTAAGACTGAGGCTCCTGTAAGTGCTTATGGCTCCTACACCTTCCCATGCCTGTTCAGGCGGAGTAGGGGGCTGCCGCTCAGGCTGCCCTTTGGCGACAGCAGCCTGTCTGCAGGTGGCGCCTGGGAGGTGAGCCTGAAATGGGGTGGAGTAGGCCCCTGATCCTCCAGGGACCATCTTCCAGGGCCAGCACCTGGCTATCCTCTGATCCGGGTTCCCCAGCACCTGTAGAAGGCAGAGCCCAGCCAGGGAAAGATGGGAGGCAGGAAGGCACAGCCTGGACAGGGAAGTGACCCCTTCTTGTGTGAGGAAATGAGAAGAGTGGGTGGATCTCAGAGGGGGGACAAGGGAGGGCATCCTCTCCCTCTGGGCAGGGCAGCTGCTTCTTTGCATCCCTTTGAAAGTTCTCCTGGGAAGGCACTCCACCCACATTCCCCCTCATCCTCTCAGGCTGGTCAGAAGTCCTCTCAGATGCTTCCCAGTCCTGAGTGAGGGTGGGGCGAAGTCACAGGCCCAGGAGGACATCTACAGTCAGTGCGGCCCGACCGTCCTCCCCAGGGAGAGGGGTTCAGGAAGGAAGGCTCACAGCTGAGACCGCATGGCACTTGCTTTATTGTTCCGGGGTAAGGGACAATGGCAGGCCACGGAGGGTTCTGCTCGTGCCTCACCGGAGGCCAAACTCTGTGGGCTCTTGTCGTCCCCGGGCCCATGGTAGGCTGAGGCTCCCACGAGGTGGGGGTTGGGCTTCCAGGTAGGGCATGGCGGGGCCACAGGGCCACATCCCTAGCTCCAAGGGCATCCCAGGTCTGTCAAGCAGTCAGAGAGGGGACACGGGTGCTCCCCTGTCCGCCTGTGCCAGGCTTCCCTTCCCGGAATGCCCAGGCTGCCTTAGGCAGTGGGAAGTCACTGGTAAGCTGAGGCCTAAACTACACGAGCTTAGAGAGAAGGAGTGAGACCGCGGTGACTCGGAGGGGCCCTTCCTAGGCCCAGGGCTGGGAGAAGAGGACTCTTTCAAGTTTCCAAGGGCGGGGGCGTTTCCAAACACTGTGTGTCGGGATTGGGCTCAGTTTGGGCCTGGGGTGGACGTGGTCCCTCCTGTGTGTCACCCTGGGGCTGGACAGAGCATATGCGGAGGATGGGCAGAGCCTGGCAGAGTCATTGCTGCTAAAGAGCAGCCCCCCGGGGGGTCCCCGGGCAACTTGGGGAGAGGCTCCGTGCCTCCTGCTCCCTCACAGGCTGCTGGAATGAAGATGGGAGAATAAATACCTCGACTTCGGGGAAGATCATGCCTAGAGGGGGCCGGGCCCAAAGAGAATGTGGGCATCAGGGTGGTCTTGGGCCTGCTGGAGGCTCTGAGCTTTCGGTCACCAAAGCCCTCAGCTCCCAGCTGCCCCAGAAAGGAAGTCAGGCTCTGTGATGCAGTTCCGGTTCCTCAGGATATAAGGCGTGTGGGTGGGTGTATGGCTGAATGACGGTGGATGCGCACGGGCACAGGCGCATGAAGGCTTGAGTGTGGATGAGTGAGAGTGGGTGACGTTTTCGCCCAGACACTTGTTCTCGGGGGCTCTGAGTGAGGAGCTGGCCCACCGGGCAGCAGAAATGTGTGCGGGGTAGCATCCTGGGTGGTGTCTCCACCCCCCTGGCTGTCAGCTAACAAACAAGTTGGCTTAGTGGCATAGGGGACAGGGAGAGTTTTCCTTCTTTGACCTTTAAGGTGAGCCCGGCGTGGGCGGCCAGCTGGGACCTCCAGGCCAGGCCGAGGCTGGAGCTGCTGCTGGGCATGGCTCATGCCAGGGCCATGGGCTTGGAGCTGGGGCTGAGGTACACGGAGGGGCCGGCGGGGGCCGTGGGGGGTGGGGGCTCCAGCTCCATGAAGGCCGAGTAGAGGGTGGTGAGGTGCAGGTCGCCCAGGGCTGCCGAGCCCCCGCTGCCTGGTGATGCCAAGTCGCCCGCCCCACTGCCCGCCTCTCCCAGACAGGGCCCTGGAGGGAAGCAGTGGGGAGGCGGCGGAGGTGGCAGCACTGCAGATGATGTCGGGGATGAGGTCACCAGTACCAAGGGGTCGAGGGCCAAGCTGTCATCCTTCAGCTGTTCCCACAGGTTTCCTAGTTGGGGGATAGAACAGGCATCACTGGGAGCCACCAAAGGGGCCCCGTTCTGCCCCCCCACCCTGTCTCTCCCATGCTAAACAGAGCACCATTTGGGTAACATTTGCTGGGGAACAGACCCTGGCACTAGCTGTGTGACCCCAGGCGGTCGCCAAACCTCTCTGATTCCTCCTCCCATGTATAGTCTGAAAGCCATAGCCCGATGACTGTGTGGCTCTCTTTTGGGGGGCGGAGAGGGTGAGGACTTGAGAGCTGCCTGTTGGAGGGGTTGATGCAGGTACTGTGTGCTCCAGGGTCAGCCTGGGGAGGGAGCCCCAGGAACTCTTCACCCTGGCTGCCGCCCAGGCTCCGAGGAAGGAGGATCTGCAGCCCAGACCACGATCTTCCCACAATGCACCGCTCCACCCGGTGAGACGGCTGGACGCGGCTCCCTGGGCCTCCTCTCCTGCAGGGCTCAAGGGACAGGAGCAGAGCCAGGAAGCGCCCCTTACTCTGAGGAGATAGCGCTTCGGCCGCATAGCCTTCTTTATGTCATGTGACCTGCATCTTGGCAGGCCAGGCCCTGGCGGCTGCCCTGGGTATCTGATGGAAGGATCCTGGACTAAATACTGAACTGAGTTGTCCGGATTCTAATCCCAGCTCTCCCTCTTTCTAGCTAAGTGACCTTGAGTTAAGTTACTTAACCTCCATGCTTCTGTGAAACGTGTTTAATAATCCCTCCTCTCCTGCAGGCCCATATAAGGAAGCACATGTAAGGCGACTAGCGTGCCGCCTGAGAGTAGGGGTCAAATACATGTTTACGGCTAGAGTTTCCTCGGAGGCCGCTGAGCCTGCTTCCCACTTCTGGAGGGGGGTGAGGATCTAGCTGCCTAAAGCCTGTACCATCTCCCCATCAGACAGGGAGCTCTCGGAGGGCTGGCTGCCTCCACCTGCCTGTGGATATTCCCTTCCCAGTGTACGCAGGGGGTCGGAGGCCTGGCTTAGCACAATCCACCAAACCCCCCCTGTCCAGTCCCAGGGCCTGGGTGCACTGGAGTTCAGAGGGACACATTTGGGGCTGGTCACATGCAGAGACGGAGCAGACAAGGTGGAGTGGAATGGATAGGACCTCCCCCGCTGACTCCTACCCTCAAATCTCTCCTGGACCGGCCTGCTTCTGAGGCCTCACATTCTCTGGGGCAGTGTTTCCCAAACTCCTCTCATGATGAGAATCACCTGGTGGAGATGTTAAACTACAGATTCCTGAATCCCAACTAAGAAATGCTAAACTAGAATTTTTGGGAGCACTAGTTAAGTATACACTTTTACCTATATGTTCCCAAAAATTCTAGTTTAGCACATCTTAGTTGGGATTCAGGAATCTGTAGTTTAACATCTCCACCAGGTGACTCTCATCATGAGAGAAGTTTGGCAAACACTGCTCTAGGGGGAAGATCTCTTTCCTTTTCTGCGTTAAAAGATGAACTCAGCCTGGCTGGTGTGGCTCAGTGGTTGAGCATCGACATATGAACCTGGGTGGTGTCTGGAGGCCACAGTTCAATTCCTGGTCAGGGCACATGCCCAGGTTGCAGGTTCGATCACCAGTAGGGGGAGTGCAGGAGGCAGCCGATCAATGATTTTTCTCCCATCATTGTTGTTTCTATTTCCTTTCCTCTCTAAAATAAAAATATATATACTTAAAATTTAAAAAGATGAACTCAGAAGTTGCAACTGGTTGTGGGAATGCTAGGACTATCAGTCGCTCACAGCCAAGTATGGAACGAAACATCAGGCCCCTCCAGCCTACCCAGAGCTGAAAGGAGTTTGGCGACGGGGTTAGTGGGAACACGTTTGGAGGCACCAGGAGGGGGACGAGGGCATTCCTCTTTGCCCCCCTGACACCCCCTGTCTGCTTTGCTCTGGCCTCCCTGCTTCAGTGCCTGGAAACCCGGCAGAGAGCAGGCTGCAGCCTGGAGACTTGGAGGGGACGGGCCACACCGCCAGGTGTATCTCTCCAGCTTCATCCCGCCTCCCCTTTCCCACCCCCAGCTCACCTTGGAAGTCAAAGTCGGTGAGAGAGGGATTGATGGCATCCAGGTCCGTGCCGAGATCTCCGTCAGGCAGCAGCGTGTCATGCATGGTCCTGGCCGGGGAGGGCTCCGCCAGCAGCTTGGTGCTGTGGCTGGGTGGGGTGTGGGCGGGCAGAGGTGAGTCCTGGGGGGTGCCCGGCTGGGCCCGCAGCTCAAGGTGCCCATCTGGCTGCGGGAACAGTGGCGGCGGCGGTCCAGGAGGGCCCAGGCCCGGGGAGAGGTGTGAGTATGTCTGCCCGTAGCAGGAGGGCGTGTGGCCCCCAAGGAGGTCCTGCAGGGAGTTTTTGCCAGGCATGGGGCCTGGAACCGGGTGGATTGAGTGCAGCGGCTGGGAGAGCCCAACCGGAGGTGCCAGGGGCTGGATGGGGCCTGGGCCTGCCAGCCCAGGGGGTGGGCAGCCCAGGAGCGGGGTGCCCAGCTTCTCCCTCTTGTCTCCAATGAGGCTGTCCAGCTCTTCTGAAAAAGCCCGAGAGAGAGGGAGACCATGAGACCTCCCTTTCCCCCACAAGCCCTCCCCAGCCCTGGTCCTGCAGGCAGGCCCTCTCCTTACTCCTCCGTCCTCCTCTTTCAGTTTCCCCTCCCTCTCTCTGTTTGCTCTGGGAGCCCTGGGTCCCCCTCACCGCCTGCCTCACCCGGCTTGGCCATGCTCTTGCGCACAGCGATGGGGTCTTTCCTCTTCCACTTCTGCAGCTCCTCCTGCATCTTGTCGATCTTGGCTGGGTTGAGGGCCCACAGGCAGCCCTTACGAGAGGAACTTCCCGATTTGTTCTCCACCTTCTCAAAGCATTTGTTGAGAGAGAGGTTATGGCGGACAGAATTCTTCCATCCATCGGGCGCCGTCTGCCGGGGCAGAGCAAGACAAGAGATGAGGCCGGGATCGGGCAGCCAGAGCTGGCTCTGGGTCTGGGCTTCAGAAAACTCCACCGTGCACAGGACTGCCGCCTTCTCTGGGCCTGGTCCTCCTCAGCACCCAGCCCAAGCTGGTGGGGGAAGGGCTGGGAGAAGGGCTGCAGGAACCTTGACCACAAGTTATTCTCACCTAAAATCTGCCTCTCTCCTACCCAACCCTGGATGGTCCGGGTGACTCATAAAGAGGCCTAGGCCCCTCCCGCCCCTGGAATCGAACCACTCCCCATGGAGCCTGTGCTTGGAGCCCTTTGTGGAAAGGGAACTCTTAGCTCTGAGGCCTCTGGTGCCAACTTAGGAGAGAGAAAGAGGAGGAAGCTCTGGAATGTTCTCCTGGGTCGGCCTCATCCCCCCTGGGGCAGATGCAGGAGAGAAGAAAGCTGGGTGAGGTTGGGGTTTGGGGGTGTGCCCTGTTGCACATACATTTGTGTGTTTACCTGAGTTTTGCTCTGTGTGTGTTTGTGTGTGTGTGTGTGTGTGTGAGGGTGGAGGTGTTGTATGAGCTCCCACATGTCCCTAAGTGTGCCTCCCTGGTGTGAGCTTGTCTCCTGGGTATGAGTCTGTAAATTCCCGAGCGTGAGGATGTGTCCCTGAAGATGAGCGTGTGTGAGAAAGTCTCTGCCGTGTGTGGGCATCTGTGATTGCATGTGTACGTGGGTGTGAGTGTGCCCAAGGGGGCGTGCCCTGGTGGGGAGGCCAGCCCTCAGGGTGGTGGTGCTCGTGCCAACAGAATAAACAGCCATTAGGAGGCCTGGTCATGTCACCGGTGCAGTAATTGTGCCCAGGGAGGGTTGTAAAAACCATTAGGCTGACTCAGTGGGGTGAGAGGCGGTGGCGGGGGTGCCAGGAGGCACCCGCAGTCCTTCCATCTCAGCTCAGTGCCAGGCTCTGTGCCGGGCCTGGGCCCAGAAGGGGTGACTGTGGACAGAGTTTGCTCTGGCCAGTGGGGCCCCTCTCCCTTTCAGGGCCTAGTTTCTGCTGAATGAGGGGCGGCCACTCCCTCTTGCCCGGCTCACTCGCCCCAGGGAGCAGCCGGGCTGAATCATGCCCAGCAGAACTGGGCTCTGATGCCAGCGACACTGCAAGCTGCTGGCAGGAGCCACAGAGTTTTTCTTAAGGGCAGCTGGTCTGGGGCAGGGGGCTGGTTGAGATGACCTACCCCCCCAAGGCTCCTGGGGTCACAAGGAAGCATTCTTGAGCCACCAGATCAGTCACCTGGGGATTCACCTTCAACTCCCATGACAGTCCCCACTGGTAGAGGCTGTGTCGTCTGATGGGCAGAGTTAATGGGCACTGGACCCTTTTACAGCCCCATAAATCTGTGAATTCAGATGCCAGGGCAGCTCCCACCCCGGCTACTTCCTGTTTGGAAGATGGATGGTCAGCACTAGCAATTACGTCCAGTGGCTGGACATGTCCCCAATCCCACAAGCCTGACTCATGGGGCTACAGGACGCCCACCTCAGCTGCCTCGGGCATGAGTGCTGCCCACTCCAGGGTCCTCTCCGTCCTTGCCTTCCAACAGGGAGTGAGAGGCAGAAGGGGCAGGGAATCTTGGATGAACCCCTTAGGTGGTTCTGAGAGGAAGTGTCCGAACGGGAGAGAATCTACGCGCCGACTGGTTCAACCGGACCATTTTACAGATTGGGAAACTGAGGGCTAGAGAAGAAAGGGCCTAGCCTGAGATCACACAAGGAGGCAGTGACAGGAGCCCAGGCTCCAACTCTGTCCCCTAGTTAAAGGCCCAGCCCAGGTCACCCCATAGGGTGGCTTCACCATCTGGGCCCGCCCCATCCTCAAAGATGCTTTCTCTCTGAAGTCAAATGTAAACGAGGGAGTGATGCAACTGCTAAGAACAACAACTGGAACAAAAAAAAAAAAAAAAAAAAAAAGCTGTCAGACCTCTTCACTCTTCGGCTCTATAAAACAGGGATTACACGGCTCCCAGGAAAAATAATTAAGCCAGGAAGATGAGATGCAGGGAGGGGCTGGGGGCCAGGTCGGGAGGAAGACTGAGAGGAGTCGGGCAGGGCCCTCACTTCCCTCTCTCTGGCCCAGCCCCTTAAAGTCTCAGGGGAACCTCGAAAGGCGGTAGAGGTTAGGGAGACTTCCGCTCCCTGGCCCGCTGGGGCGAAGGGGAAACCCTGGATATCGGCTTTTCTGCTTCTCGAATCCCAGAGACAACTCTCTTCCCCTCTTTCTCCTTCCAGAACCTCTAGTAGATGGCCATATTTTTCCATTCCTGGCCAGACCACTCTGGCCATCATGCCCACTACTCATCGGATGGCCGCTCAGCAAGTACAAACTTGCTTGAATATCAGCCTCAACTTATCCCCAGGCAGGGCAGTCGGGAAGACATGGGCCTGGGCATCACCCACTGGCAGGTGGAGCTGAGTTCTGATTGCCGGGGCCTCAGCTCCCGCCTGCTGCCCGAGTAGCAGACAAGATTGTACCCGCCAGGGTGCAGAAGTCCTTACAAGCTCTGATCTCCCCTGCACCCACCTCAGGAGAAACGGTCTGTGCTCAGGTGTCTGGGGGCGTGCAGAGAAGGGAAATTGGGAAATTGTGCTGTGTGAAGCCAAACAGCTTGAATTAGCAATTAGTCCCACCTGCTGAGTGACCTTGACCAGATGGGTCACCCTCTCTGATGTGTTCGCCCATCTGGAGAGAAGGGCATCTATCCTGCCTCCAGAGAGGGAGTCGGATAGAGACCCCAGAAGCCCGTTCTGTGAGTGACGGGTACTGGATCCTGGTCATGGGAAGGTGAGGCGAGCCAGCCAGTTCCCTGGGACTCGCAAAGACCACGAAGCCCACACCCCGCTTTTTGGCAGAACTGCAGCTGAGCCTGCCGCCCACGGAGGCAGATCCTAATCTCTCCCTGGAAGGCAATGGGTTCTGCGGTCCCAGCATCCATGTCACCTTGGCTGGCCAGCTCCTGCCCAAATTCCTCCAGCCCTACGGCATCCTGGGGGCAGGGGTGGGGACAGCCTCTCGTTTCTCCCTCAGCTCCCTCCCCGCTTGGGGTAGGTGGATGTACCTTGAAGCCTAACAGGACTGACATGGCCACCTTCTGCCAGCATGGGGTCTGACCCCAGCCTGCTGTGGCACCTTGCGTGCTTGGCTTGAGCTCTCTGTTCTCCACTCTGTCCTTCAGAAGTAGAGACGAGGGGAAGCATGGGGGGAGGGGGGGTGGCGGCAAACCCTCTCCTGGATTTCATTCTCACTCTTCTCCCACCTTTCAAGGGAGTCCTCTGGCTCCAGAGAGGCCTGGCTTGCTCAGCCCCTAGGCATGTGGGGGTGGGAGTGGGTCTTGGGCTCACCTTGAAGTACGGGAAGTGCTCCGTCATAAAATTGTAGATCTCGCTGACAGGAAGGCTCCCAGTTTTGCTGTTCTTAAGGGCCATGAAGATGAGGATGCTGAAGGCAAAGAAAACCCCGAGTGTGTTAACCTCGGACCAGGCCCGGAGTCTCCCCCAAACCCTCTGCCCCCCGCTGGAGTAGTTGAGGAGAGAGTATCTGCTGCCGAATGAATGGGCGAGAGGCTCTGTGAGGTTGTAAAGGAGAAGGGATGAAAACCTGTTTACTGGAGCCAGGAATTACAGATATGAGGGTCCTGTGGAGTCTGAGAGACCTGGGCTGCCATCCTGGCTCAGCCATTCACTAGCTGTGTGACCTTCGGTGAGTGCCTTAACCTCTCTGAACCTCCGTTTCCTCCCGCTTTGAAGTAAAGAATGTAATAGCTACCTCAGAGTTGTGAGGATTAAGGGTGATGCCTAGCACATAGAAGCACTCGTTAAATGGAAGCTGTCATTACCAGTCAGCCCTCAGCCAGCTGCAGAAATGCTGGATAGGTAGCAAGGGAGGGAATGAAGGTTGTTTTTTTTTTTTTTGAGCCTCTACAATGTGCCAGGCATATTTTTGCACTTAATCCTTCCAGAGGCCCGAATATTGCTGGTTTTTATTTTTAAAACAAATAAACAAAGGTTCAGAGAGATTAAATAATTTGCTTGAGGTTTCACAGCTAGTAAATTCCAGAGCCTGAACTTGAACCCAGTTCTGCTGGACTGCGAGGATTGCACGTGCTCCTCTCTGCATATCATCCCACCTTCTCGCCAGCTCCTCTGTTCTTGGCTGCTGTTTAGTTCCTTTTCCTTCCCCTGAGCTCACACTGGCTAATGACCTGACCCCACGTGGGGCCTGGCACATAGGAAGTCAATGCGGTTGAATGAAGGAAAGTTCAGATATACGGTCTCCCAGACAGGCTGGGTGCTGCTGGCCTGGCGTTTGCAACCCTGGCCCCAGAGAAGGTGCACCAGATCTGGAAGATGCTGGATAACTGAGTCCCATCTGCAGTCCTCATTCCTCACTTATTCCCAGCAGAGCTTTGGGGTGGGGCTTCTCTCTGTATCTGGGGAGGGAGGGTGGGAGTAGGGGGGCAAGCATCCCTCCTAAACTCTCAGTCCCCGGCCCTGGGCCCCAGGAGTCTAGAACTGTGTAGGACATCAGATCTACTGTTGAGCCACAGACATGGCTCCCCGGGGTTAGACAAGTGATCAGAGGGGATCTAGTCTATCCCTTTGTCCCCATGAAAAAATCCCTTCTCCAACATACTCTGAAAGCCTACTGGCTATGACTTCCTTCTACCCTCCCCCCACACACCATTACCCGTATACCACGAGGATTCAGTTTCCCCAGGGTCCTCTCACCCTCTTTGTTCCACCCAGGAGGGCTGGGAGACATACCTGTAGGAGTAGATGGGCTTGGGGAAGAGTGGCTGGTGCCCATCAGTGCTGGCCTGGGGTGCAATCCGCTGGTACGGATAGTGTGGGGAGCCCAGATAGGGTACAGGGTAGCTGCCGCCACCTGGTGAGTACTGTAGAGGTCAAAGGAGGCAGAGTGGTTGCCATGGTAACCATCCTTCCCAAGGATGGAGGGTGGGGGGGGCCCCTTCCCTCATTCTTGTATATATATACAGAGAGAGAGAGCTGAGACTAGATTCTTCTCTCCCTGGTCCTAGGCTCCACCACTCATGGTCATAGGCTCCTATGGCAGAGCTACCTGAGAGGCTTGGCTAAGGGGGGTGGACATCCTGTGAAAAGATCCACATTCTAGAATTCGGGATCTCAGAGGCCTCAAAGCTCCCTTGGTCCAGCACTTTCCTCTGAGGCCTTCTGGGTACCCTGGTTGCCATGGTGATGGGATAGCCGCCTGGCTGCTCCAGAAGGGCGATGTGTAGTTCCTGGTTTCCACGCCCTCCTGGGCAGGTGCTCCGGGCCTCCCTTGAATCTCCTGGAGCGGCTGGGCCGGAAGTGGGATGTCCAGCCTGGGCGTTTGCTGGGCACTGCCACCTTTTATGAGTTTCAGTGGCTCTTTGAAAGGGCCGGTCATGGTGGTGGGCAGGTGGGGGTAGGAGGTGGTTTTACAGCAAAGGGAGTGGCTGTGGTGCCAGGGATGGCGTTTTATGGGGGCCAGGGGGAAGGGAGACTCTGACTCCCCCATCTGCTTCAAGCCGGTGTGCTTTTTCCAGGTCACCCGAGCAGCACGTAGAGCCTGAGTCACCCTCTCGGCAGGCCCCATAAAGTCCCGGGTGCGGCCATCTTGGAGGTCGGGGTGCGGAACGCAGAGGGCATCAAAGCAGGGCGGGCATGGTGAGGCCATGTAAGGTCTGGGAGCCCCTTAGCCCTGCTGTGTGATTCCCTGGCAGCCCAGGCTGCCTCAGGAGCACCCTCTCCCCCGGATCAAACCGGGGGCCTCAGGAAGGCTGTGACCATTCCAGTTGGGGCCCCTCATGGGATGACTCCTCCTGTGTCCCCTCTGCTTCCTGCCATCTCTTTCTGTTTTCCCACAAAGCAAGCAGCCTGGCTACTTCCCCCTCCGCCACGTGCCTGCCTCCCTGGCTGGGCCAAGATCAGGGCCAATGCCAAAAGGCTGGGAGTAGAACCTGCTCCACAAGCAGGGCCTGTCTCAGTGCCAGGCTGCAGGTGGATGGAGCTGGGCGCTGGGCAGCCACTTGCTCCGTCTTGCCCGGTGACTCCTGGGAGCTGCTTACCTGCTCTGGGGCTCTTTCTTTCTCTTTCTAAAAACCACCATCCCATGCCAGTGTGGGGCAATTACTTGGCATCCTGTACATCTAGGAGGGGCTGAAGCTGGGCAGTGAGGTGAGGAAGGGGGGAACGGCTGAAGGTCATGGGGACTTGGAGCCTCCAGGCGGGAAGGTCCCCTAACCCGATGCCTAGTCCCACCCTGTCTGAGCGGAAAGGAGGTTTGAGGCCAAGGCCACATGGGAAGATGGTGGCCGACTGGGGTGGCAGTCCGCTGTTCCCCGCCCTGCTCAGCCTTGTGTGTGTCACCCCACACACTCCTTTTCTCTCGGCCTCATCTTTGTCTGCGTCTCCTCCTCCCTCCCTTTTTGGTTCACATCTGGTCCCTGCCCCAATCTCAGCCCCATTCTCTTCTGAGACCTCTCAGGTACTGCCTGGGTCTCAGAAAAGCCCCGCCCAACCCCCTACAGAAGGGCAATTGCTTCCCTCCCCATGAACCCTGCCCCCACCCCCATTGGCCCAGCCTGAGGATTAAGGAAGGCCCTGCTGCCCACCCAGATGTATACAACCCCCGTCCCCCACTCATACCCACACAGGATCCTGAGACTCTGGGGAAGCATGCCCACTTGCCCCAGACCCACCTGGTGGAAGGGAGGCTGCGAGGGACAGTACATGTGCTGCAAGGGGGGCTGGAAACAGTACATGCCAGGACCAGGCTCCAGAGCTGGGGGCTTGACCTTGATTTCCGACCCCTGTTGGAAGAAAAAGCAGATGATTGAGCTAGGCCTTATTTTTCTCCCTTCCTCTGGTCTGTGTCTTAAACCTTCACAAAAACAGCCCCTTCTCTGCCTCCCCCAAAACTTATTCCTGGAGGACAGAGAACAGAGAAGACGGGGTTTTTCTGAGGGTACTCAGCAAATTAGCGGTGGAGCTGGGGCTGGAACCAGCAGTGCTCTCTGCAGGTGAAGGGCTGAGACTGGGCTGTCCAGAGAAGTGGGGAGGTTTGTCAATGGTTTCACTGAGGCTGGGGTAGGGCAGAGATCTCCCTGGAACGGCACAAGCCGAGCTCAGGGCCTGCTTGCTGGTTCAGAGCCCCAGCCTTTTAGAACAGGTCTGAAAAGGACACTACGGGAAAGGCCCAGCTCTGGAATTCCCACTGCAGAGCCATGGTGAGGCCAGCACAAGAAGTGACCAGAGAGAATGGTCCAGCTGAGGACTCAGGCCTTGCCACTTTCTCTTTTGCAAAGCCCAAGGAGGCTCCAGCAGGCTCCCTGGAGGGGGCTAATGAGTCCTCTCTCTGCTCTGTCCACCAACCACCCCCCACTCAAGCCTTTGCTCCCTGCTCCCGGGAATATGCCCCATTGCTGGTCTGCATGAGCCTGTGGCACTCTCTCAGACTGGCACAGGGAGCCTGTAGCTCCTGCCAGTGGTGGTGGCCAGACTCGGGCTTCCCATGAATTGTGAGCCCCTCAAAGAGCCCTCAGAAAGATTCCCCAGAGCACAGAGCGAGGGCCAGGGAGGTCTACAAGGTTGGAAGGTCAACAAGGCCTGGAGGAGGTGGACCGCTGTTCCTGGGGTTACGAGGGAACCGGGAACCAGCATCTGGGCCCAGAGGGTCAAATCAGCTGTGAGCTCTTCCTGGGTGTGCCCTGGGGTTGCTGATGCAGAGATAGCCATAATCATAGAATCTCAGGCCTGGAAGGGCCAAGAGCCTTGTGTCCAAACCCCTCATTTGGCAGATGACGGGGCTAAGCCCATGAAGGGGAACTGATGTGCCCAGGTCATCTAGGGAGTCGACCAGCTAGCTGTGGGCCTCTGGACCTGAGCTTTTCTCCACTGCGCAGCGGGTAAGGGCGTGGGCTCAAGTCTCAGCCTCACCTCTTACAGGCCAAGGGACAAGTCACTTGGGCCTCTACGGAGCCTCAGTTTACCCCTTTGCAAAATGGAGATAGTGGAGGGTTGGAGGGTTGTTGTGAGGATTAAATGGGGCGCTTGAAAGAAATCGCCTGGCAGTGTGACCAGGGGCCGACGCTGAGTGGACACTGGGTGTGGGTATGACGGTGCCTCCTTAGGAGCTGCTGTCGTGTTCCATAGGCCTGAGGGGAAGCCATCAAAAGGCTCCAGAACTGGAAAAAGGTCCTGTCTTGGCCACACCTGGTAGGTGCCCAACCCTTTTCCGTATCTTCCCAGCCTGGGAAGCAGGTCTTTGTTGGGGTGGTTGGGGGGTGGGATGGGAGCCTATTTGAAAACAAGAGGTGGGGAGGGCTGGTGGGCATCTAGAGTAGGCATAGCCCAGGCTGTGCCAGCTCAGTGTGCACCCCCTCCGGCATCTCCAAAGCTGGGGAGAAGGGAGCAAAGATCCTTTTAGCTTTCTCTTCCCAAGGCAACAAGTCTATGAGGCAGATACTAGCAAGCATACTTTTTGAATGAGGCTCCGATTTGCCTAAGGTCACACAGCTGGAGGATGTGGCCTTGACCGACATGCTGACATTCCCAAGCGCTTTCAAGATATTTCTACAAACATACCCAGGTCCCTCTCTGGGCAAAGAATGGGGCCAGGAAGTACCCTTTGAGAAGACTTAAGTCCTCTCTCAACTCTGCAAGCTGATGCTGGAGAGGGGAATATTGTATTCCGTGGCTCCTCCCTTAACCCTTTCTCTTGGTCTCTGGAATGTGTTTTTCTCCTCACATTTGCATATGGGTGTATCTTTGTCTGGCTGGGGATTCTTGACACTTAACAAACAGAAGTCACACACTGGAATCCTGACTCAGGAGCCACTGGGAAGCTGCCAGCTAGCTTCCTTAGCCTGACCTGCCTACCCCACCTTGTCTCCTCGATGCCGGCCAGGCCCTTCCTAGCTGACCTGGAGGCCCCAAGTCTCTGAGCTTGCTTGATACACACTGAACCTGAGTGAAAAGGTCTGGGAAGAGAAGGCGGGGAGTTTTATCTCTGAGGACTCATCTGGGCTGCTGGGAGCGGGCACAGAGGATAAGTGGGCTGCCCACTGCCCACTGGTACTTACCAAGACCTGGGGGCTGTGCTCTTGGCTGGAGTAGGGGAGCCCATTGCACCAGACCTCTGCTGAGAAGCCGGGCAGGAAGGCCTCAGCCTCCCCCACATCCACGGGCATCTCTTCAAAGGCCTCCAGCACCCCTGGGGTCTTAAAGGTGTGTCCGTCGAGGGCCAGGGCGGTCTGGGCCTCGGGGAAGATGTCCTCCTGGAAATGCCGCTTGTATGGGTGGAAGGGCACATGGCCCCCCTTGAGGAAGCGCCCGGGGCTGCTTGCTGGGCCCTCTTCAAAGCTGAAGCTGGGGTACTTGTCTGCGGGTGAGAGCCGGAAAGGGCTGGGGCCAGGACCAGCCGCGCAGTGGACTTGCTCAGGGCCTGGGGATGCGATGCTGGGGCTGTGCGGCGGCAGTGAGGGTGCCCTCTCCGGAGGGCCATCGGGCACAAATGACGAGCAGCTGAAGCCGGCGTGCTTCTGGGAGGACAGAGGGCAGAGGCCTGTGAGTGGAGGCGGGACCAGGATCCTACTCCGTTGTTTGGGTAAAGGGGGTCTGAGGCTGAGCTCTGGGAGCCTCCATATGATAGAGGAGACCTAGTCTGCCCTTGGGAGCCCCAATACGATGAGGGTACACTGCTCTTAAGTCTGGGGCACCCCAGTTGATGGATGCACGTTCCTGCTCTGGGAAATCCCCAGCCTGAAGGAATAATTATATCTGAATACTTCTGGGTCTTGGAGTCACTGGGTGGTTGTTTGCTGGCGGAAGGAACAAGACAGACCCCAGGGAGGTCCCCGGAGGGAGGGGGTGATGGTTCACCTGTTTCCCACGCAGCCCTCGGGGCTTGGCCTCAGCCCGGGCCCAGGGGCCAGGTACTTACGCTCTGTGGGGCAGGGGAGCCTGGGAGGCCCGGCGCCTGCATGAGGTCCCCTGGGGGCTCGCCCTCCAGTCTGGTGGAGCCCTGCAGCGTGACGTCAGACTGCGGCGGGAGTAGCGACACCATCACCCGGTCCTGGCCTCGAAGAAAGCCGGCTGTGATGAGAATGAGGGCCAGTGTCCCGGGGTGACCAATCCCAAATCCACCACCTGCACTCCCACCCCGTCCCTGGGCTGGGATCCTGACTCCAGCCCAACATCTTGATGAGAAAGACAGACAGAGAAACTGAGAGAACATTAGAAACAGAAGTAAGCAGGTCACGTGAGAGAGAGAGCAAGGAAGACACCCAGAAAGAGAAGACTGGTGGGGAGAGAGCAAAATGAAACAATGGGAGCCTCCCCCTCCCCCCTCGGAGGGAGGGCTGGGCTGCTCTGGACTCTGCAGCTGCAGAGTGAACGAGACCCTGCCTCCGGCTCCTTCTCCACAATGAAGGACCGGGCTAGTGGTCTCTGTGCAGTGGCTGAGCAAGTGGGTGGTCCTGAGGGGAAGGGGAGCTGGAGAAGGAAGGAAGTGGGCCAGGCCCAGGTGGGAGTGACCCTCAAATTGCAGATGACCAGCCCTCGGCAGAGGCCTGTGGTGCCATCCTCGGGCACCCTGGTCTGGCTCTCAAGACCAGTGTACAGCCCGAGGGGACCTGATTGCTGCTGGCACTGAGAGCCTGGCCTGGCCCAGGGCATGTGCCGCTGGTCCACTGTGGACCGTCCGGCGTGTGCTGTTTCCTCCTGTGTCCTTCACATGTGGCTCTGGCTGCTGCCCTTTCTGAGCTGTCGTTTCACTGTTCGAAACCCTAGGGACTTAGATTCCATGATAGCTGGGGGCTCTTTCTGCTCAGACCTTCCAGAATTGTACGAGAACTCTGGCCCCAGCATAGCTGTGTGGATGAGGACTTGGCTCAAAGCCAGCCTTGGCTTTCCCTGGCGAGCTGTGCCAGCGAAGCTCTCTGAGCCTCAGCATTATCACCATCACACCAGGGGGAGCGCGAGGGCCTCCCTCCCGGGCATGCTGCACCCACGGAAATGCAGTCGTTAGCCCAGTGCCCAGCACATGGGAAGTGCTCAGTCAATGCCAGCTCTCGTTGTCACATGGCTGACTAGTCTGGCTCTTACTATCACAACCTTTCAGTTCTCTGCCTTCCTTCTCCACCATCTGCCAAGAGCAGCTTCTCTTGATTTTGCTCCTCCTGACCTAGGTGGTCTCTGCTAAAGGCTACCATTTACAGCTGCCTGCTCTGGGCTGGCCGCTGTGCACAGGATTTGGAGAATTTTCTCGTTGGTTTGTTAGAACACCGGTGAGGAAAGCACATTATTAATCCCACCTTTCAAAGGAGGAAACTGAGGCCCCGGTGGGGTTATGTGGCTGGCCCAAGTCACATAGCTAGTCCTTGATAGAGCCAGGATTCGAACCCAGATCTGTCTGACTCTGGAGTCTGTCTTACAGCTTCCTCATGTGGTGGGGGTCAGAGCGGGGAAAGCTGGGGCGGGGCAGGCAACAAGAAAAGCATGAGGTTCGTACTTATCCCTCTTCCCTGACACCCACTCAAGCAGAACGGGATAACTGCTCTCTTAGGAGCTGTGGGAAGGAGGAATGACCTTGGTGACTCCGTGTGCCCAGCTTGGGGTTAGAACATCTTTGCTCAATTGTCTCCTTTGATAGGAGGTTAACAGGGACAAGGAAGGGGAAGCATTTGCCCAAAGCCCTCCAGGGATCCTGGTCGCTGGGGTCCAGGCGGGGGCCCCGGGGGAGGTTCCCCCGCCCCTTCAAGAGTCTCCCCCGCCCCATCTCCATGTCCAGGCGCCCGCTCACTCGGCAGTGCTAAATGTGGCGTGACCGGGGAAGCGCCGAGCTGGCCGTAACTGGACACCGAGGTGGAGCAGGCATGGGGCCCAAGGGGCAGGGCAGCCCATCTCTGGCTCCGCATGACCGCCTGGTCTGGCCCCCGGCTCCCTGGACAGCTCCTGGACCGCGGGGGCCTGCCTGTCACACTTGGCCCTGGTCCAGAGTTGCTTTCCCGAGGCGTTCTCCCGCTCCTCCAGCGGCAAGGCTGGGACGGGGGCCCTCCCCCCACAGCGAGCGGTGACTGGTCCCCTCTCCGGAGGCAGAATAAAATGTGGTGGAGAGCAAGGGTTTAGGATTTCAGCTGACTCGAGTTTGAATCCTAGTGGTGTCACCTCCTGGCTGGGTGACTTGGAACAAACTGTGTAATTCCCTCTCTCTCTCTCTCTCTCTCTCTCTCTCTCTCTCTCTCTCTCTCTCTCTCTCTCTCGGCTCTTCTGGTACATGGGGATTGTGCACCCACCTCAAAGGGCTGTCAGGAAGATTAGGTGAGATGATGGGTCTAAGGTGCCCAGACATAGAAAATGCTTAAAGACACATGTCACACGTCTGGCCTCATTGGCCAACTGTGGCCGTGGCCTCTGACCCCAGACTCTATGTTTCGCTGCTTCAGGACTGTCAGGCCTGGGGAGATTGGCTTATGGCCCTTGCCCAGGTGGCAGCTGCCCTGTCAGCCTGGCCTTCACTCAGCTTGACCACAACGGGACTTAGACCCCATCTCTGCTCCTGAGACATGAACTTCAGGAGGCCTCTCTGAGCCCCAGGTTGGGCCGCACCGCCTCCTGAGGGTCTGGCCTTCCCAGAAGGACCCTTGTAGCATCTGCCTCCCCCCCATCCTTGCTTTAGTCCTATGTCCCAGGACATTGTCTGGAGCCCCGGCTGAATTCCTGCATGTCAGAGGCCTTAGCTGAAGGCTTCTGTTCAGTCATGACTTTCATACCCTGGCTTGGCCAACTTCTCCCTCCCCCCTCCACCTTCCAAGCTCCCAGGACAGGATTAGAGAGAGCTGAGAATGTAGATGTCCTTGAATGGTCCTCAGTTCAGGGCTTCCTCTAGGAAGGTTTTATAAACAATGGCATCCCCCCCCCCCCCCCAAACCGGTTTGGCTCAGTGGATAGAGTATTGGTCTGCGAACTCAGGGGTCCCAGGTTCGATTCCAGTCAAGGGCATGTACATTGGTTGCAGGCACATTCCCAGTTGGGGGTGTGCAAGAGGCAACTGGTCGATGTATCTCTCTCATCGATATTTCTAGATCTCTATCCTTCTCCCATTCTCTCTGTGAAAAATCAATAAACTATATTAAAAAACGAAAAAACAAACAAACAAAAACAATGACCCCCGATTTGGTGACTATGGAACCCCTTTGGTTGCCTCAGCCAAAGCTCTGTTTCACAAAGAAGGAAGGAAGGTCCAGAGAAGAGGTCAAGTGACTTGGGTAAGATCACAGAATCCTGCAAAGAGGGGTCCTTCACCACCTGCAGGCCAAAGGACCCTCCTGTCTCCGGGGTGAGGCTGAGGGGCTCTGTCTGGTGTAGAGGGGGCTCCTGTCCAGGGAGGGGAGGGCTCACTGAGAGGGAAGAGGCTGCCTTGGCTCCTGACCACAACCTGGAGCAGCTGGTGGAACTCCTGAGGTTGGATGAAGTTGGATGATGTAGTTCAGAAGCCCTAGAGTCAGGATTGGATTTGAATCCCAGTAACTGTGGGACTTTGGGTGGACAAGTTGCCTAACTTCCTTCCCTGGGCCTCAGTTTCCTCATTTGTAAAATAGGGCTAATAAAACGTATCTTCCTGGAGGATTAGATGAAATATTGCTTGTAAATAGCTTAATGCATAGTATGTGCTCAATAAATGACAGCTATGATTAATAATTAAGAGTGGGACAGAGTTAATTTAAAGCATAAACTCTAGTTATGGGAGCAGGCAGAGCAGAGGAAATTCCTCTTCCTGCCGTCCACCTCCATCTCCCTGACATCCTCCTACCCTATTTGCAGAAGCTAAACTTCCTTCCTCTTGATTCTCTGACCTCAGAGGTCATTTTAGCCATTCCCCTCAGGTGGGATGGCTGTGGAAACTCCCAGGGATTAGCCCAGCTGGCGTGGCTCAGTGGTTGAGTATCGACCTATGAACCAGGAGGTCATGGTTCGATTCCAAGTCAGGGTACATGCCCGAGATTTCGGTTCAATCCTCAGTGTGGGGCATGTAAGAGGCAGCCAATCAATGATTTTCTCTCAGCATTGATGTTTCTATCTCCCTCTCCCTCTCCCTTCCTCTCTGACATCAATAAAAATAATTTAAAAATATATATATATTTTTTTATTTTTTACAGAGAGAAAGAGAGAGTGATAGAGAGTTAGAAACATTGATGAGAGAGAAACAGCGATCAGCTGCCTCCTGCACACCCCCCACCGGGGATGTGCCCACAACCAAGGTACATGCCCTTAACTGGAATCGAACCTGGGACCCTTCAGTCTTCAGGCCGATGCTCGATCTACTGAGCCAACCGGTTTTGGCAATAAAAGTAAATTTTAAAAAACAAAACAAAAACACAATAACTCCCAGGGATTAGAGTAAGAAGGAGGGAGTGACTGTTGCTTTGGATCTCTCAGGAGGCCTCTCTGATGGCACCTGCATTCGGAAGGAATCCTTTTCTGACGGCTGACCTTTATCTTACATGCACAATAGGATGTGCATGTGCAAACACCAGCAAACCAATGCAGGAGGTCCAGTCAGCTCTTCGCCTTTCTCAGATCCCGGGAGCTACCCCACGATGGCTCTCATCACCCTGCCATTTAGTGTGGGCACCCACACCCCCAATCCACAGGCTCCCCCTTCCTGGGCGGGAGCCAGGCCAGGGCTCTCGATACGCCCTGGGGTCCCTTCCTCTCTAAGGTTGGTCCTTATCACCACTCCGCATTTGTAGTTTATGGAGTGCTTTTGTATCTATCACCCCCTTTCATCTGCCCTTCGCCCCAGAGGGGAGCAGGCAGTGGTGTGCTGCAGCCAGCAGCTGTGGGCTTGGAAGAGCCAATTGTGTCCATCTCTTCCCAACCCCACGTTCAGCGAAATCAGCCCAAGTTGGCCGTGGCGGAAGTATTTTCCCACAGAAATTAGCAAATACTATAAATGATAAATCAAAGCCCCCCTTGTCCCCCTTCCCCATTTTTCAGGGGAGAAAACTGAGGCCCAGGGAGAAGTGACAAGCCCAGGACCACAGAGCTAAAACTGAAAACCACATCTATCGATTCTCAGGTCTTGAGAGCTCCAACCACATCCCAAAACACACACACACTCCAGGGGTACAACCTTGGTAAACCTTTCAGTATCTGGGCATTCTGTCTACCCTCCTCGTTCCTTCCATGATCCTTGGGGAGTGGGAGGGCAGGGATGGAGGTGAAAGAAGCAGACTTGATCTTCCCTGGGGTCAGAGGGAAGAAAGAAATGGCTGTCTCACCTGAGTAGGGAACATGACAGGTAAGAAATTTCCCAGAATGCCTAAATCAGGATCGGCAATGAATCGTATTGAATCCCTACTCTCTGCCTGTCTCACAAGCAGCCAGGCCTGCACCCCCTCTACCCAGCACGTTTCCCCATCTCTCAGACCATTTCCCTCGCGTGTCAGGGCTCAGGCAAAAGGGGCCATTTGGGTTGAGGGTCAGAGGGCACAGGGTTTGATGGTTGTGTGACTTTGGACAAGTTACTTCCCCTTTCTATACTCGGTCCCTTATAAGTAAAACGAGGCACTGGGATTACTTGCATCTAAAGATGCTGCAGCTGGTCCAGTGGATGTGTCTGTGGTCCACGGAGCTGTCAGCTGGGCCTCTCCCTGCTCTGCCTTCCGGACGGGCCTCCCTGAGGACCTCCTCAAGGGGACCAGGAACGGTTGGGTGAGTTATTATACCCTAGAAGGGAGGTGCTGTATCATCACCCTCATTTTATAGATGAGGAAACTGAGGCCCAGGGAGGTTCACCAAGACTTGTCCAAGTTCACTCAGCTAGTAAATTACGCTCCCCAGAACTCAGACACAGGCTTCAAAGCTAGGATGCTTTAACCACCACACCACACGGCCCCACCTGGGGAACACCTCAGCTTCCTTGCTCACAGAGTGGCAGGTGGGGGGCAAGGTTGGAGGTTCCCTTTGCGGGGGGGGGGGGGGGGGGCTGTCCTTGAATCCCCTGTGGGCAGCTGAGTCACAGGGACACGGAGGGCCTCCCTGGGCTCTCCACACTCCCTCCCACCTGGGGTGCATCCTACCTGGGGTGCCTCCTCCCCGCCCTTTATGAGTGAGGTGGAGACAGTGCAGTTCCGCCTTAATGGTTTCTGTTGCTGGCTGCGGCAGCATGTTTTACGAGGGGTGGGGCCCCTGCCCAGTGCAGCCTGTGGCCCCACCCGGGGCTCCGCCCGCCTAGCTGCTGGGAGGGGTTCCCTGGAGCAATTAGCTACTCAGGGGTGGCAGGGAAGGGCCTGGGGGCTCCCTCCTGAGGCTTGGGCACCCCAGGATACTCAGAATCTGAGAGTGCCAAGGAGGAGGGGATTTCTAGCTTCTCTCCTCTCACCAGGATTGGGGTTTCTGAGGCCAAAATTCTGGCCCCTCTGACTCTTGACTCTGCCTGGGTTTCAGGAAGCTGTTCCTGCCTTGAAATCTGATGAAAGTGCCTTGAAGAAGTGCTACAGACAGACAGACAGATAGAAGGGGGTGGAAAAGAACAAAGGATGAAGAGCAGCTCTGTCCTCCATTGGTTGCTTTCCTCAAATCTGAGCCCCTGACACTGGTAGCCGAGTTATTTCCATCCCCCGATCAGGGCTCCCCCAAAGCCATCCCAGTCGTCCTCCGCCTGCCCTGTCTCTGGAAGCAGGCTGGTCCTGGAGCATCACTCAGTATGCCCATCCTGAAAACGCTCCCAAACTGCCTTCCGTGCCCGGGGCTGACCGGGAAGTTCTTCCCGATATCTAACCTTAATCTCCCTTGTAATCTTCGTCCTTTTGCTCTGTCTTCCTGCCATTTGCCAAGGGACCCTCCAGAGGCTAGTAAATGGCAACGGACTCACCCCTCCTCCCCCTGTTGCGGATGCCTGACCTCAACAGCTTCCTGCTCTCCTTTGCCTAGCACCCCTTCCTTTCCACCACCCCTGAACACCTCTGGGCAGCTTTCCATTTCTCCAGCCGGTCCCCAGCCCCTGCCACCCAGCCTGGTCCCCAGTGGAGCTGGATCCAAGCACTCACAGTGGGCTCTGGGCCATGGCCACCATCTCGGCTTCAGGGAGTCATCAGGCCAGCAACACCCTAGCAGCCTCCATGGAGGTATAAATACTCCCACATGCCTGGACCAGCCCCCTGCCTGAGGGCTGGGGCGGGGCTGCTTCCCCAGGCCTGGCAGGCAGGTCACATGCCCCATAAATGCCATGGGACCACAGGCCCTTCCCAGCAGCTCTGGGGAGACCAACTGGGACCTGATCTCTCTGGATGGATGGATGATGGATGGGTGGATGGCTGATGGATGAATTGGTGGGTGAATGGATGGATGGATGGATGGAATTGACAGGTCAATGGATGGGCAGATTGATGGATAGACAAATGACTGGATGGAAAGGTGGACACATGGGTAAACAGACAGGCAGATGGATGAACAAATAGCAGCTAGTGTGCTTGGATAAATAGACAGACTGATGGGAATCCTTGACCTGCCTGTGGATGCTTATTGGTAGATGGGAAGGAAGGAATGCTTGGTTTCAAGGGGGGCAGGGGGAAGCACCCATTCATCCTTTTTAAAGACATATCTACCAGGACCCCTTCTCTGCTCTGCTATGACCACCTAGTCTGAGAGATTGACTCTACTGGGTTCCCCCTACTCCTTAGACGCCCTTTTCTGGAGACCTCCCATCTAAACACCCCCAGTCCCCATAGGATCTTTTGCTCTTGGATATCATTCACGGTCTGCCTTTTCCTCCCTCCCTCCTGCCTACTCTGGAGTCCAGGCTCTGCAGCTGTGAGCCCACCTTCAGATCTTGCTCCCAGAAGCAAGGTCAGCTTGCCCTCCAAGATTAGCGGGTGGAGGGGGAGGCAAAATTAAAAAAAAAAAAGTGAAACCCTTAGATGGGCAATTTAGGGAGAAGATGCCACTAAGCTCCCACCTCCCCCGGGTATTTTTAAGGGCAGGCCTGTGTCTGACAGCGAGAACAGGCATGGCAAGGCCCTTGTAGGTGGCCAAGGTGACCTAGAACCATGGGGGGCCTGACTGGATTGCTGGGCTCCTGAGGGTGGGGACTTCCTGTCTGCTTAGTCCTCCCAGGATTAGCGCAGTGGTCTGGGGATTTAGACAATGATTTCCAGGGAAGAAAGTTCTTTCTAACCCTCAATCTGTCCAGCTGTGAAAAGGACCAAAGAATAGATGGTGATGTAGGGAGAGACTGAAGGAACAGGAGGGTTTTTTCTTGGATTATGAAATATTGCCTTCATCCTTCTTGAAAACAAGCTTCCTCCGGCCACATTGGCTGAAGAGAAGTGACAGAATGGGATAGGGAATGGGAGGAAGCTCCTTAAGGCTGAGTACCCATTAACTCTGCTGATCCGTGGTCCAGAAGTCCTTCCTCCATGTGAAGTCACTCAAGGCTGAGCCTGGTAGTCCCACCCCCAGCCTCCTGTGGGCTGTATTGGTCACTGGCTGCAGAATTGATTGGCTGTGGTGCTGATTGGCAGCTGAGCATTTGAACTGTATGACCAGTAGGGATGCCAGAACCCTTGTTTCACCTCATACTTTAGCCTGACATTTATCATCTCAGAAGGCTCCCCTCCACCCCCCGTGGCCCTCACAAGTAGTCCTTCTCACCAAGGAGCACACAAACATCCTCTCCCAGCATCAGCGTGGGCCAGTCACAGGAATGAACCTCATTTCCTTCTTTATAAAATAGGAACCTCATCATTTCCCTACATACCTCACCTGGCTGTCCTGGGAACTGAATGAGAAGCAGAAAAACCGACACCATCTTGTCTGCTGCTCCTGCCTCCTTTATTGGGGTCCCCGGCACGTGGCACTTCAGGAGAGGAATGGTGGCTGAGATCGTTCCTCTTCAACCATTTGCCCTTCCCTGGGTGCTCCCCATGGGGGTGGTCAGGAATGCTTATACCCAGCTGCATGCCCACCTTAGTGAGGGCATACGACGGCACGAGATTCTACTATTTCTTCGGTTACAGGCCTTTCATGCTTAGACATATCATTATCAGAAGGAATGCTCATTATTACCCATCTATTTTTAGGGATATTAATTCCGCCACCACGACTAATAATACAGATCTAGTGTAAGACAAACACATACCGGCAGAGCCCCGCCCCCACACCATCCAGAGCTCAAGTTAGCACACACACAAGGCAAGCAGTAAGTTAGCTGCCTGGACTTAGCAAACTTTGGAGTGAGAAGAGAACTGGGAGGCCCTCCCACCCAAGCCCCTTCTCTATTGGAAACTGAGGCCCCAGCAGCGGGAGGCACTGTTCTCTGCCATGCAGGTGTCTGCCCACTGGCCCTTCCTCCAGGCACCTGGGCTGGGTGAAGCCAGCTCGGAGCACCTAAGCATTTTCTTGCTCACCTCAGTAGAAGGAGCTGGATGTGAACCTTCTCTGAACCTATCCAGCTCCTGGACTCCAGACCCCTCCTTTCTTTCTTGAACACCGTCAGATCCTCTTGGCCTTGGCACTGTCACTTCAAAGGTTTTCCTCCAAAACCCTCCCCACCTCTGCCAGACTGGATGTGCTCAGGGGAAGGCCCAGAGAGGCACAGCCTCCTCTTCAAAGCCATGTGCTCTGTAAGGCCCATGAGGGGCTGGGAGCACCTCTGACGGGGAACCTGTCTGTGGTCCCTCTGGCTCTGTTGTGGGGAGACTGCTAAACACAGAGCCTGATCATTGGGTTTTCTGATGACAGCAGTGTGTGTGTGTGTGTGTGTGTGTGTGTGTGTGTGTGTGTCCCGGTGCATATCCAATGCCTTCCAAGACTGATGAGCTTGGGATAGTCTGGGACATGGCTGTGGAATTTACAAGTGTAGGTGGGATCTCCAACTGTCTCCCGGCAATCCGGTTCCAGAGACACACCCCATTCTGTGTGTGTGTGTGTGTGTGTGTGTGTATGTGTGTGTGTGTGTTGGTGCCCAGGACAGCTGTAGTTTGTCAGAAGCAGTAGTTTCAGGATGGGGAGGTGTTGGTGGTCAGGGTTGGAAGCCGACTGACCTTGAATCCTCCTGTGAGCAAGAGGTAGAGTAGGGGTGTCGAACTCAATCAGAGAAGGGGCCAAAATCTAAAATCCAGCCTAAATCGCTGACCGAATGGTTTACTGAACAGTCATAAACTGTCATTGTGATGGAAACGCAGTGATGTGCAGTGATGACAGCGCGGTGCGGGCCACATTGCAAGGCCTGGCGGGACGGATTTGGCCCGCGGGCCTTGTGTTTGACACATGTGAAGAGGGTTAGGTCAGACCTCCCTGTGGGCCCTCTGTTGCATCCTTGGGGATCTTCAGGGGTGCCCACACCCTGGAGCTTCCAGAGTAGTCATGAGAGCATGGGATCCCTTTTCTCTGTGACTCACGGATGGCGCTCTCGTCAAGTTCCCTAAAAGATCACGATTCAGCTATTCTCTCCTCGGCCCCATTCATCTGAGCTGACGAAGCAAGAGCTACAGGCAGGGTAGAGACCCGGGGGTGCTAGCGATGGCAGTCATTCCTAAACAACCCCTCAGGCCTCCTTGCTTCAGCTGCTGTCCACCTCCCTGCCTTGGGACTGGCCATGCCGAATTGGGTTGGTTACACTCCCAGCCTCCCAGGAAAGGTTGCCACTGCCTCCTTTGGGGGCCCTCTGCGCTTGTCTCTCCACTTCCCCCGTACCTGTCACCCACCTACAGTGTAGAGAGAATCCATCTGGACATCAGACGTCAACTTATTTGGGTGGGAATGAGTTCATTTTTACTGTTTGGCCCGCATCCAGCCTGTAAGGTCAGATAGGATCAGGAAGCGAGGGCCTCTCCAGGGATGATGCTATTGCATCCGTTTTGTCCTAGTGGCATGGCTCTAGGCTTTTCCTGAACACTGGGGGAATGTGGAGGACAGACCAGGACTTGATGAGGGGGGGCCTATGGGGGATCCATGATGCATGGAAAGATCCATCCTAGAGGTGGGGATGGTGTGAGGTGGGGATATGGTATTAGGGATGAAGATGGAGGTAGGGCTGAGGAGGTGAGGAGGAAAGAGAAGAGAAAGATGGGGTTGTGAAGATGGGGGTAAACCCTGGCTAGCATGACTCAGTGGTTAGAGTGCTGGCCCAAGAATCATAGGGTCTCGGGTTTGATTCCCGTCAAGGGCATGTACCTGGATTGCAGGTTCCTGATCCTGGTTGGGGCGCATGTAGGAGGCAACCAATTGATGTGGTTCTCTTTCACATCGGTGTTTCTCTCTCTCTCTCCTCTCTTTCTCTTCCCCCTTCCATTCTCTCTAAAATCAATGAGAGAAAAACACACACAAAACAATGAAGATTAACGAATTAAAAAAAAGATGGAGGTGAGATTGAGGATAAGGAATTGGATAGGAAGAGAGCTGGGTTGGGGTTGAAGATGGGAATGGGGATAGGGTTGGGTTGTGAAAGAATTAGGGCTAAAGTGGAGGGGTTAGGGACAGGATGAGAGTTGAGGTTGGGGATGGGCAGAGAGATGGAGGAAGGGACAAAAGGTGGAAATGGATCCAGTGGAAAGACCAAAAATTACTCAGGGACCTTTGATGGATGCTTCTGAGATGCACTCCCCTGAAGGTCATCTTGTCATGCCCCTGCTCCCAGACAAGCTGCCAGCCCAGCCACACCCAGCCCAGATCAATGGCTGCTTCTCCACTCAGGAAACCACCTCCTGTGGTCACATAATCCAGCCACGTCCATTTACAACACTGAAACACCTGCTGGAGCCTGCCGGGGGAGTTCAACAAGCCGAGATTGGCTTCTGCTGCGGGAGAGATTGACATGAGTTCTTAGAGGAGGGACGGTGGACTGTGATTGGGGAGGAAAGAGGGCAGGGCTTACCTGCGGGACCTCTGTGCCCTGAACCCCTCTGTAACAGGAGGGGGACCAAGGAGGCAGGCGAAAGTGGCTCCCAACAGCCCCCTCCTCATTCGACTATGGAGATGGAGAGACAATAGAGGGGCTGTGGGTGAGGGGCCCTCTTTCTGTCCCTTCTCGTACACAAACTCCCAGGAGATGACCCGTCTCTGGCTATGTGTCTGAGCCCTGTGCAGACAGGAGTGTTCTTCTGGTCCATGAAAACTCAAGCTGGGAGGAGGGAGGTTAGACATCAGGAAGGACTTCCTGGCTGGGAAGGATGGGGGACCCACCGGAAGGGGTGCTGTGCTACTCTCTTAGAGGGCAGAGGAGACTCTGCATGAAAACGGAAGGAAGGCTTTCCCTGAGACCAAGGAGGGGACACATGGCGGCGTCCCAGGAGGCACGTGCCACCAGTCGGCTTTCCCCTCGTCTCGAACTGTAGGGAGCCTTTTCCCTCCTCACTTGGGTGAGGAAAGCTGTTGGTTGGGGGCCACGTGGGGTCAGTGTGTGGATGAGACAAAGATGGGAAGCAGGGAGGGGCCCCAAATCCCTATGTTGTTGTTTTTTTCTTTTCTTTCTTTCCCAGGAGCAGAATCGAGAGGATTCTGGGGCTCCTTGAGCCCCTGGGAAATAAAACCCTCTGAGAACTCCCTGGCATTCCTGGGAGAACAGGTTCCTGGCCCTGGGAGGTGAGTGAGGCGCCGGGCCTGGGGGGGCAGCGTGCCTCGGCAGGCCCTGGAGCCGGGAGCTGAGCTCTGCACAGGCAGGACGGGCGGGGCTGGGCGGGAGCTGGGAGGACATGTGCCTCTCCCCATGGCACCTTCTCTGAGGATCCCTAGCCCGGCCTGGCCTGCCACAAGAGAGGGGCCGGGCCCGTTGGGGATGCCCTGCTACTGCCTGCATCCTGGGGGTCAGGGAATAACCAACGGGTTGCAACTGCCGGAGCCAGGCATGATGGAGACCGGACTGGAGTGCAATGCCACCCTCCCATCACACACACACACACACACACACACACACACACACACACACACCCATCAGCCCAGAGAACTGGTATTTTTCAGTGGGGAACAGAGAAGGTTGTGAGGCCTGGCAGAGCTGGACCCTGTAGCCCTGAGTCTTCAGACTCCAGAGAGGACTTCACGGCTGTGAGGGATTAGGAAAGCGAGGAGGGGGCAGTCCTGTCTGGCATGGAAAATGACCAGCTGAGAGGCAGCGGGATGGATGAGATGGCTTCTCAAGAGAATGGGCCCTCTCCACCGGGTCCTTTCCCTGCGATCAGCTGTGTCTGGCACGAAGCACATACAAGCACATCCCCCCGCACCTGTAGGTGCAGAGAGAAGAGGCAAACACGCCCACTTGGTAGAGTCTGTTCTTAATCTAACGTGCTCTTTGGACATTCAGGGAGGGCCTGGGGGACTCCACGGGGAATGCCAGGACCTTCCCTGACCAGGTAGCAGGTGGGGAGGAGACATGGGAGCCAGAGGGGGCTTCCTGCTGCCCCAGCCAATTCTCTATGGCGTTCCCTTCCCAGCCCCAGTTCTAGGCTTCCAGAGTCTGAGAGCTCCCTGCATGTCCCAGGTCTGCTCCCTGGGCCACTGGGCTTCAGGGTTCTCCGGGGAGAGATGTTTCTGGACCTCCGAAGGGGTTCTGCCTCCAGCTCAGCACCAGGGACCGGCCACAGCACCTGTTTGCCACCTGTCCGCTTCTCCACCAGGTGCCCTGCCTCCTTCCTGAAGCCCAGGCCCCCCTGACCCCAGGCATCTAGAACCAGCCCAGGCGGCTCGAGATGTGGAGCGATCCGTCGGCCAACGCACACCCTTGGCACCAGCAGCCCCCAGAGCTGAGAGCTCCCCTTTCTACTTGGAAAAAACAACAACAACAACAAAAAACCCCCCACTAAGTTGGGCATAGGCGTCCCTGTCTCTCAGCTCAAGGTTTTCAGTTCAGGCTCTCCCGAGTCCTCGAGTTTCCTCCCAGCACCCAGAGGCACCCACCAACTCCAACCAAGACCAGAATGAAAAGCCCCGCGACAGCAAGAAGGATTGAAGTCAGACAGCCTGAAACAGGAACAAGAGGGAGGAGCATGGAGGAGAGGGTCCCCTTTGGCCTCCAGGCACTCACCCACGTCCCTAGTCTCCCTTGAGCTGCAGCGAGGAGATGGGGAGGACCCCGGTGCTCTCAGTCACTCCCCGGCCCCATTAAAAAAGCGATCCCTCCCACCCCCGGCCCTGGCCGGCCCTGCTGGCC